AGGGTCGGAGGCTGTGCTGCAAGAGGGGCATTGAGGGGCAGGGGGCTGTCGTTGCTGACCCCAGCACAGCCCCTTCTGCTCAGCCCGGCGCTTTCCTCCAGCTTTGGCCGTGCGGCAGCCCAGACCCCTCACTCCTGCCACCCTCAAGCCCGGCTGCACTCCAGCCGCCTGGAAGCATCTTCCGCACTCCCTGGCCCAACCCTCCGGGCTGCGTTGCTGGGGCCTGCGAGATGCCCCCCACCCCAGCACCCCAGTGCTTAACCCTGGACTAGCCGTCACCCACTGCCCCAGACGGCTCTGCCCTCCGGACCCCTCCCCCGGCCGTTTCAGGGCCACGGCTCTCCCAGAGCAAGCCGGGGATAGTAGCTGGGAGAAGCTGAGACCTGCCTCGACCTCGCCCCTCCTGTGCGTCGGAGTCACGCTGCCAAGGCTAGATGGCTCCAGCATGACACTGCCCAAGCTCCTGGCTTGCACCGCCCAGGGCACCTCCTGCTGCCTTTCCTGAATCAGCAGCATTGGCACCCCCCGCCCTCATCCGCCCCAGCGCCAAACCCCACCCCACTCCCAGCTGGCTTCCAAGCATTTTCAGGCAGACCTCTTCATGCTCCCTGTAAACATGCCCCAAACACCCTCGTTTTTCACCCCCGTGAATGCCCCTTTCCCTCCTGCTCCCCTGGAAGTTCTTTGGGGAAGGACCCGTCTTTGTTCTGTTTGTACAGCACCTGACACCAAGGAGATCAGGTCCAGGACTAGCAAGCTCACTCCCAGCTGGCTTCCAAGCATTTTCAGGCAGACCTCTTCATGCTCCCTGTAAACATGCCCCAAACACCCTCGTTTTTCACCCCCGTGAATGCCCCTTTCCCTCCTGCTCCCCTGGAAGTTCTTTGGGGAAGGACCCGTCTTTGTTCTGTTTGTACAGCACCTGACACCAAGGAGATCAGGTCCAGGACTAGCAAGCTCAGGTGCTACCGTAATACCCCTAATACATACTTTTTAAACTCATCCATGTCAGGGTTTGGTTGCAGATTTTGAGCCCTTCAGGGTCACTTTTTCCAACTTTTCTCAACAACCGTAAGGGCCAGAAATGTACTTTCCCCTCCCCACCCCCCATCCCCAGTGAAAGCTGAGTAAGTGGGGGGAGAAGCTACAGAGCCATCAATGTTAAGGTCAGAAAAGGCCCAGCACTGACCAATCTGTCAGGCCGGAGACCCCCTTCCTCGTCAGTGCCCCCGCCCTGGGAATCCAGCCCCCAGCCCCTATGGTTTGTTGTGCTAACTCCTGTCTCTGGTGCATTTCTCAGCCAGGCCATTTTGCCAACTGTTCCTCACAAAGTCAGGCGAGGCGCTGGGGCCTGTCCCACCTTCCACAGCAGGCTGGCAGCCGGCTGGGGCAGGATTGTCACACCTGTTGAACTGAGACAAAAAGTGGGGAAACTGACCTGCCCAGAGTTACTAGCTGGAGGGAAACCAGGAGTCCTGGCTCCCCTGAACATGCTCATTCCTGGACTTACGCCATCCTCGCTGCTGTGCCTCTAGCCTAGTGGTCACCAACCAGTTGATCGGGATCTACCGGATCTTGGAGCCAGGGGCAGCCCGTCCATATAGGCGAACTAGGCGGTTGCCTAGGGCGCCAAGTTAAATAGGGTGCCAAATGGTGGCGCAATATCATTGAGGGTTTGGAGGTGGGGCGCCGATTGCCTGGTTCGCCTAGGGCGCCAGTTGCTGGCAGCTAGTCTAGGGCCGCCCCCGCCCGCCTCCGACGGGGAGCCTCTGACAGGTGATCCTGACTGGTTCGGCCGGGGAGCTATCCAGCGCTGGCACTTCAGTTCCCCCTCCACCCACTGTCATGCTGCTCCTGTCCTCTGCCTTGGAGCAGTGGTGTAGCGAGGGTGTCATGCACGGGGGGGGCAAAGGCAAAATGGATGCCCCCTCAATCATTTGCCCCCCAACCCCAGAGCAGCTGGGCAGTTATTACGTGGCTGCAGCCCTGGGGAGTCGGGGACAGTAAAGATCAGGGTCCTGACCAAAGGAAGAAAAGAGAGTAGTAAAATACACACCTTAGACTTCAGAAAGCAGACTTCGACTCCCTCAGAGACCTGATGGGCAGAATCCCCTGGGATGCTAACATGAAGGGGAAAGGCGTCCAGGACAGCTGGCAGTATTTTAAATAAGCCTTACTGAAGGCACAGAAAGAAACCATCCCCAGAAAGCAGACTTCGACTCCCTCAGAGACCTGATGGGCAGAATCCCCTGGGATGCTAACATGAAGGGGAAAGGCGTCCAGGACAGCTGGCAGTATTTTAAATAAGCCTTACTGAAGGCACAGAAAGAAACCATCCCGATGTGCAGCAAGAGAAGTAAATATGGTAGGAGATCAGATTGGCTTACTGGGGAAATCCTTGGTGAACTTAGGCACAAAAAGGGAGCTTACCAAAAGTGGAAACTTGGACAGATGACTAGGGAAGGGTATAAATGAATTGCTTGAGAATGCCGGGGAGTTATCAGGCAGGCGAAAGCGCAGTTGGAATTGCAACTCTCAAGGGATGTGAAGGATAACAAGACAGATTTCTACAGGCATGTTAGCAAGAAGAAGGTGATCAGAGAGGGTGTGCGGCCCCTACTGGACGAGGGCAGTAAACTAGTGACAGATGATGTGGGGAAAGCTGAAGTACTTAAGGCTTTCTTTACCTCTGTCTTCACAGACAAGGTCAGTTCACAGACTAATGTGCTAAGTGACACAATATGGGACGAAGGTAGACAGCCCTTGGTGGGGAAAGAACAGGTTAGGAACTATTTAGAAAAGCTAAACGTACATAAATCCATGGGTCCAGACTTAATGCATCCGAGGGTACTGAGGGAGTTGGCAAATGTCATTGGGGAGCCTTTGGCCATTATCTTTGCAAAGTCGTGGAGATCAGGAGAGATCCTGGATGACTGGAAAAAGGCAAATGTAGTGCTCATCTTCAAAAAAGGGAAGAAGGATGATCCAGGGAACTATAGGCCGGTCAGTCTTACCTTAGTCCCTGGAAAAATCATGGAGGGGATCCTCAAGGAATCCATTTTAAAGCACTTGGAAGAGGGGAAGGTGATCAGGAATAGTCAGCATGGATTCATGAA